ATCTCCATTCACTGTAACGGAATTTCCTTTTGGTCATTTTCGAAGAAAATGGCCCAAAAATGCCACCAGACCAAAATCCGCACCAGATAGTCACTCGTTGTTGACGCACTGCTTTCTCCAAGATGACGTGTGCATTTTCTGAGCCCCAGATATGACAATTTTGCTTATTGATGTATCCTGCGAGGTGGAAATGAGCTTAACCTGAAAAGATGATTTTTCGGTAAAAAATGCTCATCTTCGATCAAGCGGAAGACCGCTTGAGCCAATTAAAAAGGCCCATGGAGTAATAACGATCCAGTTTCACAAACTCGCTTCACAAATTGATCCACAAACTGCATTTTTGACTCATCTTTTTTAGACTCACCACTTTAGAAATAAGTTTTTAATATTTCCCAACTTTGTTCAAGCACAAAACGACCCATTTCCATTTCATTTTATGTCAAACATAATATAAACTTTTTGTTACATCGTAAATGTCATCAAACCTTCCAATCTTAAAATAACCCATAGTTCCAATTCCAAACGTTAGATGGCCCACCCTGTACTATCGCAAGTATATCATTTGCGCATTACTATTTTAATAAATTTCTAAACATATATAATATTCTACATGAGACTTGATATTTTTTAAAAACGATGATGCTATAAATAAGTGTCGCAGAAGAAGAGATAAGAATATGACGAATGCTATTCCTACCTGTTTAGGTTTTCAATTTCGAAATACACAATACGCTGATACTGAACTGAACTCTGTCATTTATTCACTTATCGAATCATGGCTGAACGGAGCAGCGGTTTTCGTTGAATTAAAAAATAAAACAATTTTACCTCCATTTTTAGGATCGTGATTTTTAATAATCGTGAAGTGAAAGCTACAAATGTGTTAAATTCTAACAATTATATTGGTTATATAAATTATTTTTATTTTTGTTTTAAATGTAATAATGGTACATACATTCCAAGAACAAGTCATTCTTCCAGTCAGTCGAATACGATGTGTTGCATCTCAAGTGAGTAAATGTTAAAATTTTTGAATATAATTTTGATAATATGTAATTTTAGTTTATATTATGTACCTACTTATTATTGTAAATATTTCATGGGCATAAAAATAAATTCTTCAAAATAATATGTACTAGTAATGCTATTAAAAACAAATCAGTTTTATGAATATAACCAAAAAACTACATTTATGTTAAAACAATCATGGCGTTTTTATTTTAAATAAATACATTTTTAAAATCTTTCAGTGTTTACATTAAACAAAACTAATTTTTACGGATTTTATCGCGTATTTTATATTCCCACCTCATTACCCATTATGACCACGGGTGCTGTGAAGTACTCGAAACGTCGGGGATGTAAAATAAGTTAATATACATACGCGATAAAATCCTTAAAAACTAGTTTTATTTAAATGTGTAGTGTTCAGGTAAATGTAAGAAATCATTATGTTTATATTAATTTAGATTATATTTCTGCTAACTGAATTAAACATTTTATGGGTATAGCTGTCACAAAACTTAAACAGTGAATTCAGTTCCGTTGTGTTATTGTATCATTAAATATATATTTTAAAGTAATAATATCGGCTGTTGATTCTAACCTGTTTCCTATCACATTAAGATTTTTAAAACAGGTTCTTACCTACCTTAAGTGTTTTTAATTAAAAAAAATTGGTAGCTTCCTTGTAAAATTGATTGATTATTACCTATGGCTGTTATTATTATTAACAATCTTTTTAATAACTTAGTCTTGTAAAAAAAATTATAGACTTTTTAGACCTATTATACCTTTAGCGAGCGCTAACTATCTAAGCCGTAGTAGCTCAAATGGTTAGCGCTCGCTGTAAATTTCACAGTACGCGAGCATACCAGGTTCGAATCACGCCGGCACCAATGAAATTGTTAATTGCAATTTCAAGAGTTGATTTACCACGTACTCGGCGGTAAAGAGAAACATCGTAAGGAAATTTGCAACTCTGAGAAATAAGAAATAGCATATTTCGAAAACATGTGAAGTTCGCCAACACGCATTGGGCCAGCGAGGCAGACACTTTCTTGCTCTAAAACCCTCCCAGAAAAGAGAGAGGCCTGTGCCCAGCGGTGGGACGTATCTAGGCTACGTAACTTTAACTTTTTAACTTTAGAGCTTTCTAAGCGTAATGATTTAGTACAGGTTAAAATAAAATAAATGATCTAAATCGTGACTTAAGAACTATCGTACATCACTCATTTACTTTTCTATGACTTTATATTGCACTTTGTAACCCGATAAGCTTGATAACGCATTAGATTAACGTTTGGCTGCGGTTATGGAGGCCGCGGGTTCGTATCCCGCACGTAACAAGTACTGTTTGTATGGCTTACAGATAAATTTTCAGAGTCTGAACTCTGAATATTCATATGCAATTAATGTACGTAAAACTATATAAAATGATATATATATATATATATATATATATAGTAATAAATAATAGAAATGTAATAGTTTTATTTAAAAAAAACTCGATAAATACCATAACCACTTCATTGAAAAATTAATATTAAATTGAAATTCAGTCAAATAAATCAACATACCGTTATGTTATCAAGAACACATTAAATAGCGCTATGACCTACAAATTACGTATCAATTATTTCGTGTCAATTACATCGAATGCTTCGAAAGAGAAGACGTCCGTCTTGAGATAGCTTATAAAATGTCCTGATACGAACTGATTTATATGATTATAATATATTATATGATTATACTTAGTTTTTCCATAGCTTTGAAATAATACTAGTTATTTACGGATTTTATAAAATCCGTAAAAACTAGTATTATTTCAATGTGTAGTGTTCGCGTTAATATAAGAAATCATTTTCCATAGCTGTTAATTTTTTGTGATTATTGCATGACTTTAGACTTTATTATTATAATTGAAGACTTTGTTTACAAACTTAGTAAAACTACACACTACATTGCTTGGCGAGTTTGTCAACGTAGAACAAAAGCGGCAATGGTAATTGTACAATACGAAAAGTAATAAATGAAAATTTACAAAGGTAAATACCATAGTAAAGTATTCGTCTAGATGTAAATTAGTTAAAACAATGATAATTAGTAAATAATCAACTTACCGATTAAATGTGATGCCTTTATTAGTTGAATTACACTTCCTTGAGGGTTTTTTACAACTGATTATGCTGCAGTTGACCATTCCAAATTTATAATAACATAAATTCACGTACGTCGTTCCCCGCGCAACTATATCACAAAATGGTGAATGATGTTCGTCAACACATCATAGCGGCGACAAGGTCACGCGTATATGCGACTTCTATTGTCTTATTATTACGATTTCTGAGGTTACTAAGGACCGTGTTGTGGCGGTGTAAGAATATCCATTAGCACATATCGTCCCGTGGGTGTCGTGAGAAATGACAGAGAGAAACAAACCAGGAGATGGACAGCAACGTCTTACTAACCAATAAAACTGTGGCTGCCAACCCGCCTGTCGAGAGTGGCAACTATGGCAATTATCTCCTATGGAGCGATCTAAAGGTTATGTTTAGCATTGTACTTATAATACTTTATTCGTGGTAGAACCACGCTGCAGCTATATTATAGTTGTAGCACGAATGGGTCGGCTCGCCCGGGAAGGACTACGCTCTCACATAATACCAGCATAAAATAGCAGCGTAATGCTGCTGTGTTTCGTATGATGAGTGTAGAGAACCGGAGACCTTTTCTACTGGAATCTAGGCATTCCATCTTAGTCCTCAGGGGTGACAAATACTTTTGAATTTTGATCCTTATTGAGTTATGTGATCATCTGTGGGCCACAGCATCCACTTATCATCAGATGGACTGTGTGCTCGTATGTCACCTCGCAATATAAAAACAAAGTAATTATCTTTATTGTAATCATGATAAGAAACAATAAGTTTTCAGTATGACTGGTGTAAGATGAAACAGCTTAATCTGAATGTGATAAAACATTCTAAAAGTTATAAATTACACAGCAATATGTAATCGTTTATTTACACTTTGTTGAATAAAGTACCTTAATTAACACGCTAAGCGCCATGTGTATTATTTTTGATACACACTGTACAAACACTTGTGTATCTTTTTCGATACACGAACACCATTCCAGTCTTTAGCCTCGTGTATCGCTATCGCGCACGTTTTCATACATTTTATAGTACGAAAATATTGCTCTGGCCTAGGGGATTTTTCTGGTGTATTGGGGTTGGGATTGGTAATATTTTTTGGAAATTATGAAGAAAAATGTATGAGGAAGAAATAAAACACTAAAATTATTTTGAATGTAGAACTTTTATTATAAAAAATCAAAATGTAACAAAGGTGTTATGAAGAGAAAGTAATCTTATAGTTAGTGGGTATTATTGAAACAAGTTTTGCAAATAATTACATCACAAATAGAACATTTTGTGTTAACTTGTGACGCTCGTAATATTTTGCCATTTACTTCAATTCCTTTCCTTCCGTACTTTTTGTAGCATTCTGAACAACGCCCGCGAACTGTCTTTTCTCCAACTGTATTCTTCACAAGATAGTGCTTCATATTTCCTGAGGCTCTTCTTGGTGTCGAAGTTGATGGTCCGGATTCTGTAACACGGGGTTGAGAATGTCTGTCAAGTAATACTGTAAAAACTTGCTCTCGAAATTCCGTGATTGTCAGTTTCTTGTTGTTGGAATATTTGTTATAGAGAAAATGGGCATTGACTAGGCTTGTTCCCCATAGTACCCCAATGAACAGCTTACGATACCATTTAGTACAACGTCTCAAAGCACTGCCGTATTGCCATTTGGTCACTGATATCAATCGATGTTTTGCCGCTGTTGTAGTCGTTGATAATTACTGGCTTGATTATAGGTATCCTTTTTCTAGTTTGGGTGATCACTGTCTTGAGGCCAGATGTTTTCGTTGAGAGCATTCTTACATCCCGTTTATCGCGCCATTTCAGGACTACAATTCCGTCTTTGGTTTGCTAACAGCTAATTTCCCCTCTTTTCAGTTTTGTTGCAATGACATCTTTTGGTAGATGTTTTCGGTTGGATCTGAGGGTACCAACAAGATGGGTTTTTCGGCGACGTAGTCTGTATGCTATCGGGACGCTTGTATAATAATTATCAGTAAAAATAGTTCTTCCTTCGTCAAGAAGACCTTGAGCAAGAGTCATAACCGTTTTTTCAGAAACATCGACTTCTTTTTCTTTCGATTTTCCACAATATACATACAGGTTCCAGGTATAACCCTTTTCAGTGCAGAGCTTGAATACCTTTATACCATATTTCGCTGCTTTATTAGGTATATATTGGCGAAATATCAATCTTCCGCGCCAAGGAATAAGAGATTCGTCGACACAGATGTTTTCGCCTGGGGTATACATTTTCTTATAGTTCTCAATAAATTTATCAAGCACATCTCTAATTTTGCACAACCTGTCCTCTGTATCTGCTTCAGTGTTATCCGAAAAATGCAAGTATTTCAATATTAGCTCGAAGCGATTTCTTGGCATGACTGTCCTTGCCAATGGAATTCCATAAAGCTTATGAACTCTCCAGTAGTCTTTTATAGCAGGCAGTTTGACCAAGCCCATCCAACCAATCAGTGCCAAAAATTTGATCATCTCGTCGACAGTGACTGGATACCAAGAATGAGCTCGAGCTTGGGGACCCACGTCGTCGTTAGATAATAGGTTTTGTGTAGCAAAAAGATTTGTTTGTTCAACAATGAGCTCCACAATATCTCTTGTCAGAAAAAGTTCAAAGTATTCAATAAGGTTTGCAGTTGCTAAGATGCCCGTGTAAATATCTTTCATTCCTGAAAAAGGCACAGTGTACGGTATCGGTTCTGGATCATCTGCAGTTGGCATATCCCATTCTATATTTTCTATTTTTTGTTTGACCCATTCACTCTGGTATTTCTTCTGAGGTAGTTCCATAAGTACTTGGAAGGTTGGCTATATCATCTGGTGGCATTGTTCTTGATCGTAGAGTTCTTCGTCTCTGTATATTTGGCAGTGCAGGTAACTGATCCTCTGAAAATGTTGACATTCTTCTTGATGTAGCTGGTGGATTCCAAGCTTCATTTCCACTATCTGATTCACTTGAATCGTCGTCATCTTCTGTACTGGGACAGAAATCGAGATCGTCCATTGAATCATCACTACTATAATCCATTTTTACAATATTCTAACGCGTCTCTCGGTTGTTATTCACTTTACTAACTCTCTATTACTTATTCCTGAAACAAAAGAAAAGAAAATTTAAGAAAAACTGTTGCTATTCCCAAACTCTCTTCTCATTTGCTTCTTTCTTCTTATTTCTTCTTTCTTCTCAGCTCCAATTGCTAATCTAAAACAATATGAGATTTAATTATTAATGTGTATCTTTTTTTGCACACATGGCCCATTAAAAAGTTTTGGGTGTTAACTATTGTCACAGGCCCGTGTATCGAAAAAGATACACACTAGTGGGAGGGGGTGGAGAAGGGTGGAGGTAGAAAAAAAATGTATCCGCTATAACATCAAGACGGTTTTAGGTCAAAAAAAAAATTTTTTTTCAGAAAGGTCAAATTTGGGTGGTATTGGAATATAGGGCTTGGCGCTGAGCGTGTTAAAAGGAGTGCAAATGCTGATAAGATCAGACAGGGAAAATAACGCGATATTTAGTACTGCCGATTTTTTCCTCTATGCGCATTGCTACAGTAGGTGCATCCGCTATGTGGGCGTGCGTCTGAGGTCCTTTCATGAAGCTTTAATTCTCCCGTTCACTCTGATATTGTGTTTGTTTCATTTATTACAAATCTGTGTCGTTATTTTATCCATCCTTTGTAATGCTTTTAATTCAGGTGTTTTATACAATAAATTAAAAACAAATACTCTGCTCACACTAAATAATCTACACTCTCGATCACTCTGCTTAAACGTTATATACGTACAACAACCACAGACCAAGAAAGAATGCTAGACAAAACACCACGTATATTTCAAGTTACGATGAAACCATGCTTAATGTCGTTCTTCTTTTTTTCTTACACACTGTTACCGTTACAGCGTAAGAAAAGTTCACTGCTGAACATAGGTCTAACAAATAGATTGCCCGATAGGGGATATAGCTTATATTTACCACGCTTGGCGAATCCGCATGTTCCCAACCGTAATTTATAATGCGCTGCACCTGGTTTATATCCTCTATAGCCTCTTACAAAACTCATGAGATGAAAATGAATATTAGACATGTGTCAATCATGAAGGATTCTTTCGTTTGAGCTGGTACACTTAAAAGTTCGTCTGTTGTGTGAATTGTAAATGAGTCGAAAACCGACCGAAACCCAAATTATCTGAATGAATTGTTTTTAGTGTAGGGTACTGGAGCCCGAAATAATCCATTTGAATAATCGATCTGAATGTACCGGCACGCGTGACGAAATGTACTAGAATGATTCGGTCACGAGAAATGAATGATTGACACATGTCTAATGGATATCCTTACATCGCCACCGCACGGTACGCACTGATGCGCACTTATGCACCTAAAACTAAACCAAATTCAGGTTGATTGGGGAAGAATGCCAAAAGTATTAAGTCCTCCCTAAAAAAACCTTTTTATTAGGGCGTTTTAAACAATAAAGTATAAAGTCCGACTGAACTAAAAACAATTATTAAATAAAACTTCTACTACACTGACTAAAATGCTGTTCTTGCTAAAATTGGAATTTTAACACTAAAATACTTAGAATTAAATATTGTTCTTCAAAGTTGTTATAAAATATAACAGTTCTGCCACACAGGGGATTTCTTATGTATTCACATCACAGTTCAACGAACGTATGTTGGTTTTTAATCTCGTCACTGCGTTTGTTTAAGAGTTATGATTGTAATGTTTAAGAGCTATTTTAATATACAACCGCAAAAAATTGTTTGAATAATTAAAAAAATTATCTCTTATGACGGCTTCATATGAATTTGATTATTAAAACCTGCTAACTAATCCATAATGGCTCTATATCTTTCATTAAAAGAAAAAGGCTTGTAACGTCGGCACTTTCAAACGTTCTTACTTTATCGTTAGCCACTCACCTTCGCTGTTCGCTGATGACCATGGCCCTTGCTATCCTATTTATTAAGATGTTAATGATAAAGATTAATTAAATAAATAAAAATGATGGCCTATGCAGGGACCTCCGTATATTGCCACAAATCATGAAGCTGATCACTTGCATCCATTGATTCATTGCATGTGTCATCAGGTCGTACCGCTGTCTGGTCCGCGTAGGCAATAGTAGCATCTTTCTGATAAACAAAAACTCTCACGCTTGTCACCCAAAGAGGCAGTCAGAGAGTAGGAACTTCCATTTAGCACTATCCTGACACACCTCCCTCGCTTACGCTTATTTCAGTTCCATACATCTACGCATGCATGCTCATTTATATTATGCACTGGTAACATAAGTTAACGTCCGATCATAGTATTTTCAGCGTGAATACCACTTTTTTAAACTACTTTTATTTTTGTGTACATACGATAAACTTATGTAAATTTATTGAGAGACCAAAGTGAATATATCGATTTCCTTAAATTTTTATCTTAGAAATTCTTTGGGTTATAAATTATAGATTGCCCTTATGGACCACTTTTGCAAAACAAATATAATTTCAGTGTCAGTCACGTGTCACCATAGCAAAATATCTTACAACATTGTGCTATGGAAATAACTAAAATAAACTGGTCTAGCTATTTCAGCACTGGTATTGGACTGGTATTGCTGGAGGATTTGATTTGATTATGTAGGCTACAGTATTCTTTTACGACTAGGTAGACTGTGTACTCTTTTGCCACCGTTATTCTATAAAAAAAGAAGGATTTACCTCATCACGTTTAGCAGGCAGATTATCATTGGGAGCACCAGACTTTTCGCAGTTGGACGATTCTGCTGCCTATCGCGGGTCTGGAGGCATAGACAAAGTCCCATTTTCATCAACGATAACGAAATTAGACAACTCCGAAATGTATGGAACTAACAAAAGCTTTT